CAACTTATACACAGAATATCGGCCCCGATTCAATACAGATACCTGTATCAGTGGAACCCTACTTGCTAGCAGTCTTTGTGGGATGTTCATCCTTAGAAAGAAATGTAACAGTAAATGAAGCAGCATACAGCATGGAGCGTCTATTATAAACTCACTGCTTCCTTTAACTACACAGACTTGGCAAAGCAAAAGAGAGAGTTCTATTATATTAAGCAGGACCTAGTAGGCAGGATATGAAGGAATGAAGAGGCAGAATTCAGTGAAGAAGATGCTTTGAGTAGAAACGGTATTGCGACTTGTCAAGAAGCCATGGTTGCTAAGCCGTTGCTAGGCAAAATGTGGCCACACCCACCACTTTTTTCCATCAAAGGGTCTACTCAACCGGTACTGGTTTTTTTGCACAGAGCTTAAACAACCGGTTCTGGTTGTTAAAGTGTTATAAATTGAAATCCGGTTAATGACCATGCCTCCTTCTGTGAGAATAAGAAAACATTACTATCATGTAATTATTTTTTGTGGCTGTCTCTACAAAACCAGTGTTTAGTCTTTGGACTTTGTCTATGACCAACACACTTGATGTGATACCAAATAAGACAACCGTCACAAAATAGCTTCAGGACACTCATCCAGATTATGCTGGCAAAATTTGCAAACATATACTCCATTTTTTTCTACCAACATCTCTTACTAGAACCCATGCATCATTGGTAAAGTAATGACAAAGAAGATTAAGGTCGACATTTTCATCAAATACAGAATCAGGTAACTTTTCAGGCAATACTTCAACTCTTCTTTCCTCAATCAAATTTTTGGGATTTGTCATAACAGCCAAAACTTCTACTATATCAACAAACCATTCCACAATAGCTACAATGTTATAATGACATCGTCACTAATGCATGTAATTGTACCTTCTTTTAATGATGCATGTAATTTTACAAATGGAATAACTTTGTCATATTTCCTTTTCTTGGGTAAGCCAATGACAGTGTTCTCATGACCTTCAGGTCTTCCTCTTTCCTGAATAATAGGAGGAAGTGTTATATCTACTTTTTGGAAAGAAACAAACAGCAGCTAGATTTTTTACCTTTAAAAGACAATTGCCACTCCTTCTCAATCCTTGCATTTAATTCTGGAATGGAGATGTCTGGAATTTTATCATTGAGAGCCACAAAGTGAGGAAATGGTTAGGTTAATCCCTAAAAGAACACAGAAACCCAAATTTTATAATTCATGTAATGCATACATGTTTTGAAGCTGCAGCAGTTACTCTGTTTTTAGTATTAATAGTTGGCTGGGTTAATGATCTCTAAAAGATCACTAAGAAAACCAAATTTTATAAATGTTTACTGACATGTTTTAAAGCTGTAGCAGTTTTTCTATTTGTAGTTGTACTAATAGTTGTTGTTTGTGCCTTTTTACAAGCAATCAAAGTTAAACAAAAGGCAATGCTTACCTGTGATAGGGTTTGCTGACATTAATGGTGGTGGTTGGCTACTGCTAGTAGTAGCATCTAATAAATGTAAAGTTAATAGATTTAATGCAGATTACACAATTATGATCATGATAGTTTTAATATCAACTAACATTCTTTTCAAAATTCTTTTCCATTTTCCCAAAGTGAAATAATTTTTCTCAAAACATCAAAACTGGAATAATTATCACAAGTAGACTCAGAAGAAAGGGAAGCTATGGTAGTAGTAATTTTTGAACCATGGCAAAATTTTTCTGCCTATAGAATATCACATAAAGTATTTTACAAACTCAACACAATGCAAGCATACTTGTGACATTGGGCGTTTGGTAGACGCTTGTATAGTGGAAATGGTAACTGGTGGAACTTCATTTTTTAAAGTGCTTGAACTATTATCTTAGAAAATACGCTAGTTTTCCTTGTATTATTTAAGAGTCCAACTTTTGTCACACAAATATTCTGAAAAAGATCTATTTCGAGTATCATTCTGAGTGCAAATAATGTGCACGGAAGGTAACTTCATGGATATTTGAGACACAATCACAATTGGTAGCTGTAACATTAACAGTACCATCATGAGTGTTAGTGTCATAATCATTGTGACTATTTTTCTGTGAACAGGTAATTATCGCCTTGTCTTTTAAGTCAATTTGTTTCTTCACAAATTTAAAAGCATAATCTGTTAAATATTCCACATACTTCACCAAGAACTTTTCATAAGTAGAATGGTAAATCACTGATACCTTTTGAGCCAAAAGGGCAGCCTTGTGGTTACGCTCTGATCTAAGAACCCAAACAATCAAAAGGAAGCTTTTGATAAAGACTTCCAAAGACTAATATTTAGACACAACTGACTTCAACTTAGCATTCAAACTTTCCAATCGATTATTTGTTGTATTTAGGAAATTTCCCAAGTTGTACTTCATTCCCATAATCCATTGTTCTTTAATTGGATGACAGTTTTTCTTAAAATATTCCAAACTGGTAGAAGGTACACTTTCACACAGACAAAAATATATTTCTTGATATTACTCAGCCGAAGTAGTGGCTGAAGTATTTCTAATGACAAGTTTTGTTGACCTGATGTAATTACCATCATTTGAGTTGTTACTTTGCGACAGAACTCCCAAAAGTGTGAAATAAGCAAATCTGCAAGCTGCTGATGGAAAACAATGAGCTGGTTTGTCTCTTTGGCTTAAATCTTTATTACCCATTAGCACACGACTTGATTCCCACTTTGGCTTTTCCTTCTTAAAAAAGTCTATCATATGAAACATTGTTTCTTCAGGTACTAAAAAAACTGCAGCTATTTCACTTAACCCATTCCTAGCATATACAAGCAAAATATAAACAGTCCAGTAGTTTGTTGGTCACATCAAAACAAACAAATTTGGGGTATGCCACAAAGATATCTTTCATTTCTTGATCCTGAAAATAAATTCCTCTTAAAACATTGGAATGACTTGTAATTACTTCAACACATGCACGTATAAATACAAGGTAATAATAAATAATAAATACCATAATAAGCATTCAACATACCATATGTAGTTACGTATCTGATAGTATCTTAACAAAAGTATCTAAGTCAATTCAAGTACTTTTGTTTTGTAAAGAACTTTGCAAGTTTGTTAGATCCTTGAGAGTGACAGCTTTTCCTGTTTCTTGAGAGACTTCGTCTCGAAGACTCTTTTTCTTAGCTTTTATATTTAAACAATTTCCAGTTTTTTGTCCTTCAGAATCGTTTCATTTGCATTGGCGAAAAAGTTCTCGAAATAATTTCTATAATTATTGTAAATCAATGAATAATTAAACATTTTATTTACCCTATACACATCATGGCTGTGGTCCTTTATAATTTTGTCAAAGTTAACTGCTGCCCATCTTCTGAAGCATGAAATTATATCATTGCAGGGCAATCTTTACAAAATGTTCTAAATGTTAAGAACAACTATATATATGATACTGTATAGTGACTGACTTACAATAAAGAATGTTTTTCTTTCCTTCAGATTTAAACTTTCTGCCACCGTGTGTGCAAGTATAAACCACTTCATAATACTTCAAAGTAAACGTGAGAGGTCTATCAATTCTTCTTTGAGCAGGCTCTATGGTTTTTGAGTCACGTACTAACAATTGTACTGATGTGGACTTCTTGTACTGTTGAACCTTCGTTGCACTTCTTCAAGCATTTTAAAGGTCTTTTGAATTGAAAAAGAAGCATTATCTTTATCTTGATTAGAAGCTGATGGTATGTCACCCGAGATATCACGAGTCTTTGTCAGCTATGAGGTCAGTATATAGGCTTGGTCATTAACCTGCTTTCCATTTATAACCCTTTACAACAGCAACCGCTTTGATAAGGCTATGGAAAGGAAACTGGTTCCAGTTGAGTAGACACATCGTTTCTAAATTGAAATGTTAGGCAAAACTGCTCTTTCAAGTCTGTCACCATTTTTGCTCATTTCAGAGGATTTCACAAGCCAAAAGTAAGTTCTAAACATTCTCTCTTTTGTGTTTTGTCATTTTCTAGGTTACTTTCCTCGGCTGCTGATCGTTTTTAACTGTTGGGAGTCGCGCTACTGTACTTTTCTACCTATATACTGTGCTTTGAGTCTTTCACAATGTTATATATATCAGAGAGATTAAACAGGAAGTTATTTAAGCTATCTAGGATGTTGTTTTGCCATAAATAAAAAAAGAAAATAACAATTTTACTACAACCCCACATGTTATTAACATACAGGAATGTCGTTCGGTGTTAAAATGTACAACCATCAAGTCTTGATGAGGCTGTAAAAAAGAGCAACACAGGTAAAATCTTTGTCAACAAGCATAGCAAATACCACTTGAGTGTGCTCTGCAAGATCAACAATGAGTTTAGCAGGAGACTGTTCAGAAGCAGCTATGAAGTAACTGATGAAACATCAGGATAGAATCTCATTGTGCTAATCAAGACAACTGTGGTAGTCAAAATGAAAAACTTTATTATTGTAGACATCTTGGTATACGGGATGTACAATGCTATTGTTGCCGAGAGTATCAACACTACCAATAACAGTATGTGTTACACGGGTAGCAGTAGTTGCAAAGGAGATTGGTGATGGACTGCACATTCAATCGAAAACCTTCTGAAAACATGATTTTTTCTATTACAGCGAGTATAAATATGACTTCAATTGTCACTTTGATTAACGCAGGTGTTTCTATTTTTCAGATTTGTACTGATACACTTCCTGGTGGGAGCTTTATCATGCCAGGACCATGTCAAAAAGATATAGTGGCAGAAAATGGCCAACACAGGAGGTAGTGGGACAAGTTACTGTTTCTGTAACCTTTTCTGCTACTTCATCAATTTCACACGCATTTATTGTAGTCCATAGCGTATCAGTCCCAGGTATATTGGGTACTGAATTTTTGTCAAAACATGCTCTATTATTGATTTTCAAGCAAAAACATTACAATTTGGGATAGAGTGTCCAATAATGTCACCCATTAATGACAAGCCACCATTGATGACCCCAGTAGCTCTAAATAATACTGTTCTGCCCAATAAGACAAGAACAACTCCAGAAACTGTACATACATAAACTGATACTGTTGCTGATGTGGCAGTGGGACTAGTTGAGCCCTTAGAGAACAGTCCCAAGCATTTGATAATGGGATGCTAACTATGTATAGCCAACAATAATAAAGCTGTGTCTGTATCTAATAGGCTTATTACATGTAACTTAAAAGGAAACAAATGCATTTTTTTGGATTTTTCAATAATCATCAATATAACATTTCAACAACAGTTATCCACTTATTTTCAACAAAAAGTCTTTCACTTGAAAGAAAATGTACTTTACGTTTCGTCCTTTCTGTTGGCAGCCATTGTCTTCCTAGTTAAGCAACAATGCAGGAGCGTGCACTTTGTGATGTCAACAGATGAATTGATGGTTGCTTCTTGCATCTCTTTCATGCAGATAAGACTTGTTACTTTTGGCTTTGTTAAAAAACAAGTGTATTAGTGTAAAAAATTCCTAAGATTGTTTTCACCACCGTATGCTTATCTCTCACATGTATATATTATTCCTAGCATCATAATAATTTACTATTATGATTTTAACCCTTATTTATGATTAATTTTGTACATGCACATTTAGATAACACATAAGACAAATATAAACATACAAATATATTATCATACGTTGTTATTAATTTTATCATCACTCTGTAGAGCTTGATTATATTGATCTTATCATCACTCTGAAGAGATTGATTATATTGATCTTATCATTATTCCGAAGAGCTTGATTATTATTGATCTTATCATCACTCCATAGAGCGTGATTATATTTATCTTATCATCACTCCGAAGAGCATGATTATTTTACTTTTGGGCCCAACAACCATCCCCAATCTCCATTCCATTATTATGAATATAGTCAAGAGTTGTATATTATACTATAATACAGACCAAAACACTTTTGTGGTTTTAATTTGTAATATAGTAATATCTCTTCACTATCCCAGAAGACACATCATCATTTATAATCTATGGTTCCTTAGTCTATCTATTTCATCATTTGCTACTGCTCATGATGTGATTTTTTTTGAACAAGTCCTAGCAGAGCAACTCCTTGCAGTGTTCTTACTCTACTTAAGGCAACGTATACCATTCCATCTTCAAACATTTTAGGACATAGATCGATTACAGCAGCATCAAGAGATAGACCCTGAACCTTATGTATAAAAGCTGCCCAGCAAGGTAGTAATGGTAACTGCGTACACTGTAATGTTACTCCTTGCTTGCCATAGAACTTGGCCATGACTGGTTCTATTGGGAGAGGTTCTTGCTCTGATAAATCATTAATTGTGACACGGCTCACTAGACCTACACGTGTGTCATGAAATTTTACATATACTTTTTGTGGCAAGTCCCCTTTCTTTGCTTGATCATCAGCTCCATTTGGCCAAGAGAAACCTACAATTATTCCTCTAGCTCCGTTTACTAATCCTTCCTCACATATAATGTTACGTTGTAACATAACCTGTGCTTCTATAGCTAACTTCACTTTACGTGATAAGCCAGCACAATCTCTATCATTGAAAGGTATGAGCGATTCTGGGACTTCTTCATGTGATACTACACCAGGGATTAGTGTTGTTGGCTCTACTATTGAATGCTCTGCATCAAATTCATATATTTTAGTAGAGCGTGATAAATCTTTAAATCTATTGTCCTTATATTCATCTACTTGCTCCTTTAAAGGCAGTAGGCGTAATGCATCAACAAATGGAGGCTGACTGACATCAATGGGATCCCTGATACCACTTGTCAATCTAGATCAGAGTACACTTATATCAGACTTTGTCTGAGAACCAATTCTCATACAGTTGAGAATTTTTGAATATTCTGTGACTCCTCTTTGTCCCATATTTTGAGTTAGTTTAATTAGTTTGAACTCATCCCTCCACAAGTGTGTTGAGCCTGAATTGTAGCCTCTGCCATCTTCAAATACAAATTTGTCCCTCACTGGTGGCAACTGGAGAAGTCACCTACTGCAATGACATTCAGTCCTCCAAAGAGTACCTCAGTGTCATCGATTCCTTTAAATTCAGTTAGCCTCTTGTGAATGAAGGACATTGTTAAGTATGAGACCAAACTTATCTATTATTATGGTGTTGACATATTTCCAGGATTGTCTTAGTTCCTTTAGTCTCTCTGCTCCAAGCTTTCTATAGGTAGTGGCGTTTCCATGCTCTACAGTAAGATTGACAGCCCGGTGAATAGTTAATGCACCAATATTAAAGGCTGCAACACCAGTTGGTGCCATTAAAATGCAAGCATTTCCAGCAACAATATGAGCTCTTTCTAAATGCTCTTTGATGACACATTACTTGGCTTTTACCAGTTCCAGCACTACCTGTTATAAACATTCGAAATGGGCTGGGCATTGACCTCTGGTCCTCATTTGAAAATCATGTACTGCTCTTGAATAATCAAGGACGTTCTCAAAGGGACTCTCTGAGTTTCATTAAGACTCGCTACCCTTGCTTCAAAATCTGAGTCCAAAAAGCGACACCTTGAAATAGAGTCTAGTGTCAATGCATCTTCTGTGTCACCAATATGTTCTATATTTGGACCGCATAAGTTTTGATCATTATTATCATCAACTAGTAATGCGGCTACATTATCGAGATATAACTCATGGTTATGTATTGGATTCTGACCATCACCTTAATTATTATTATTTTCTAAATTTACGTGTGAAGTACAAGGAGCAACAGGAGTGTACACAGTATCGCCACATTGATTTAGTACACGTAATTGCTCCGTTGCTCTTTGTACTTCATCAGCAAGAGAGGAGTGTTGTTTTGTACTTAATACTTGTAATTTATCTTTATTTGCTCCAAATGATGCTTGGGCAGAGCCATGATTTCCAATTAAATCAAGAGTCTCATTTCTCTATGGGAGATAAAGGAAGATTAACTGATAATAGTAACTATCATCATGAGACTCTTGTGTTATTGTTGGTAATCTCAAGCATGCTTGCTTTTGTCTTAGTTACTATTATCAGTTAATCTTCCTTTATCATCATGAGACTCTTGTGTTATTGTTGGTAATCTCAAGCATGCTTGCTTTTGTCTTAGATATATTTTTCCTAGACCATTCTTTAGTTCATATCTAGGTTGGGCACGGAATGTTGTTGGCTCATAATTTTTATCAGCAACATTGTACCATATAAAAAGGTGTGCTAGACTCATACTGTCAAATGGTTCTCCATCAGGATGAGATTGATATCTATCTAATGGACCAGGATTGAAGATATCATCATCTCCAGTACTCATAGCTCTTAGCTCTCTAATTGACTTGAATAGTCTTCCTCTTTTCTCTGGTCTATTTGTATTTATGAATACATACGATCAACAATAGCCTCTTAAATGTAAGCCAGTAGTACAAAATACTGCCTCTTAAACACCGAGGATCCAGGGACATATTAGAGTGTTTCCTATTTTTAGTAGTTTTAGTGTCTGGCTACAATTTACTGGCAATTTATCTAACTTTCTTGCTATTTTTAGTTTAATCTGTTCAGTCTTGTCTTTACACATATAATGGCATACATATTTTGCTGCTCTATAAACATTTCCTACTACTTGAATGTCCATGTTAGCTCTCCATGCTTTTAGTAGGTCATGCAAGATTGTATGGATTTATCATCTCAGCACCTTCATGTTTCAGTATAAACAATGAGCTTTTTTTCCAACATCAGCATTTCTTTTAAGACAAGTTGTCACTTGGCCTATTTGGGTAATCAAAGCGGCAGCGATTACGTTCATTTTTCTACACGCTTTTGTAATATTAATCGCAATACTAAATCTTTTAAATCAACATCTTCGCCATCTTTTAGTACGTGACAAATAACATATTTATCAATGAAACCTGGAGATTTCCTTCTACCTTCTACTGTCTTATTATCTGGTCCATCTTCGATCCACCATAGACTCTGTATATGAAGTGAGCCTCTTTGTTGAAACTCAACTCTCCAAAAGTTGTCCTTTATTTCACCTATAGGGTTACTAGCACCATTTAATATATCATTCATAATAGCTTGAAAACGATGAGACAAATGATGTGCTACTATAACTGGGTAGCTACTTAGTAACCTTCTACGCTCTGAGGTAGACAAATTTTTTACTTTATCATCACTAAGGTTCTATCCATCACATTTTGCAAGTACACATATAAAATCGAACCAATTCATATCATCTGGACTTAAAGTAATAAAGAAAGTAGGTGGACCCAGCGTCCTAAACATGGCAAACAAATCAAGCTTTGCTTTATTCCAGTAGGCTGAGGAACCATGTATATTTCGCTTAAATGCATATGAATTATCTGAAAGCTCCAGGTTAAATCTCCATTTAATAATTTGCCAGCAATGATACGCCCTATGCTACCCAATGATGATGATGATCTAATTCGCAATGCGATTGATACAGAATCACGTAATCTCATCTTTTCAAGTAAATTTGCTGACCATAGTAAATATGGAAAATTACTAGACCAACAATTATCAGCATTAAGTAAATGTGATTCAATGTAGTCAGTAAATGATA